AATTTATGAGAAGACGTGTTTTTTCCTAAATTTTGTATACAACTTGTATTTTATGAAGTTTTACATATTTATCAATAAACAACCAGATAGTATATATTTCCTGGCTGAGTTTCTTTGGAGAACAAGATATGGACATTGCAGTTTGCAAACCTATCATGCTGGTGTGTATTTTTTCCTTGGGCAAAAGTTTTTCTGGGAGCACTGCTGTACTCTGCTCAACAGATCTGTCCTAGGTGAAGTTCCTGATCTCATCTTATATGTTATCCTAAGTAGGTCTGTATTTCATTTTTTTGAAAATAATAAAAATAGAGCCACAAAACAGAAAGTTATGGGAAACAGCTTTAGAGAACAAAAAGGCATCTCGTGGGGTGCTTTTAACCTGCTAATCTAATTTTGAGTCGGGATGCTTTCGAACTGGAATGTGTTTTCGCACCAAAGGTCTGAATCGGTCAATTTAGAATACCTACATTCATGATCTATTTGGTTAGTATGTGACTTGCAGGCTTCAGAAGTTTTCATAGGGACAACTTTTCAAATTTAATCAGTGGAGAATGTACCTAGATACTGGCCTCCCTGTTACTACCTAGGGCTCCCTTGGGTTTTTTACACTACAAGATGTGTACTTTACTCAAAGGGGAACATAAAACACAAACTAAATGTGGACATTAAGCCAACAGGTCATGGCTGGGATTCTTCTTAATAATGGGCAGCAGCATTTTTATATTAGTGCTGTGTTAAATGGATTTATTAAAAGTAGGCACGGCAGCTCACAAAAAGCAGCATGAAAGGGATGCAGCAATTGTAAACATTTTTGCAACAAGATTAGGCTCTTTCATGTTTCACTGAGTAGAAACTCTGTGATCACCAAGATTAAAATGATAACAAAAGCAAATAATGCACTTCCCCGTTTATCCAGAAAACTAAAAACAAAAGATATGATTGAGCCAGTGTTAAGTTTTCTATGTAATTTTGCTAGGAATATGCCTATGGAATGTGATGGTATATACTGTATTTCAGAATAACATACATAACATCCTGCTGAATCCAGTGGGAATTATTTATATTTCCTTAACGCTGCAGTAAGTAGATATTAAAAATGCAACCGTGCATGCCTCTTTGAACACACTAAGGCAGTGTTGTCCAAAGTTGGCCACTTTAAGATGAGTGGACTTCATCTTGCTGGCTGGGAAATTCTGGGAGTTGAAGTCCACTCATCTTAAAGTGGCCAACTTTGGACAACACTGCACTAAGGCAAAAACCAAACACACTGTTGGGGGGGAGGGATAGTGTGATTTAATAACACAGCTTGGAACCCCATCTTTGCAACTTGATTTGAGTGGGTTTCCAAAGTCCTTTGATCTCCCATCTTGTATTTTCTTATAACCTGATGATTAGAAAGAGGGAATGAGAGAGTATTTCGGGTTAAGAGACTATCATACAGCTCAGTGAAAGCAGCAAAAATTTATGCAGCTTTCTTCTACCAGCTGCATCAGACCCTAACTGTGCTACAAACATCTTCCTTCTCTCAAAGCAACAATTCATTTTTATAGTTGACAATTTCTTTCACGGTCTTTAGAAAGTATTTCACTTCAATGGCCATCAATATTATGTACTGAAATTATTTTCTCGGTGATTTAAATCTATGATACAATTTTCTTTCCACACTATCTTGATGGAAATGTTCCCTGAATATGAATTACCTATTTTTGTTTAAAAAACAAAGCTGTCCTTTTGTGATCTGGTTTTGTATGTTAGGAGCTGTAAAGTGAAATGCATATCCCAATCCCCATTTACACAATTTTCTGTCCATTACTAACAACAGAGGAAACAGATTATTATCTACATCAACTCAACACACAATAACGTGCCATATGCCCCAACTTTTTCAATCTTGGTTTTTCTAAATATTGGATATAATTTATGGCTTAGCAAACACACACACACACACACACACACACACACACACAAGCTACATGTTTTGGACTTATAGCTAAATTCATAACTGAAAAAAACCCAAAGATGGCTTCATAGTTTAGCTCTGTTTCCTATCTCTTCCATTCTCTTATTCAGTTTCCAATGTTTAAGTCTTAGAAACTCTTGGGCTAGGTGTCCTATGAAAATATTTGGCCCTAGAACAAACTGGCTTCAGGTCTAGACACTCAACCATGAACCAATGTATCATACTACTTAACGTAGCTGAGAAATGCTATAACTGACCCAAGGATGCCCTCTATGTAGCCTTCATAGACTTGAGGGAGGCCTTTGACTCTATGCCATGAGAATAACTCTGGAGGAAATTAGTGACTACAACACTGTCTTCTTAAACGGATAATGCTGTTGCATCATGGCATTACTATTCAAGTCAAGGGCAATATTGCTGGCAACTTAATTGAACCTGTCTCTATTTGCAAAGGTGTTAAACAAGACTGTATCCTTGTCCCACTACTGTTCAGTTGTTACACTAACAATATTGTTAAGATGTTTGCTAAGCCAGAATTCCATCCTCCCTCCCTCGCCCACCACCCCGTCTCTATTCTTCTTTATGCTGAAGATGAAGCCCTCCTATTTAACCCAAGTAGGGCTTCGAAGATGCCTTAAAGCTCTACTGCTTTACTGCTACAGAGAATGCTTCAAGAAACTATTCTAAAACAAAGGTATTGGTATTCTCTAGGAAACACTTTAAGGCCCTAATTAAATGGATGATTAACAGCAAACTTATCAAGCAGGTTAAATCCTTTAAGTATCTAGATGTCTATTTTCAATCTTCTACTTGCAAGTCTATTCAAGCAAGAGAGCTACTAGCAAGAGCCCAAAAACCACCCCTTGGAATTGCTAAATTTGCAGGTCAATCTGGAAATAATGATCTCCCAGCAGCTATTAAACTGTTTAAAACTGAAGTTCTGGATATGAAGTTATATGGTACTCAGCTATGTATCCATAAGGAGTCCTCTAGCTTAAAAGCAATTCAATCAATTTTTTAAAAAATCTTATTAGAAGTCCCTTGTTCAATTTCTAGCATTGCAATATGACTGGAACTAGGATGCATTTCCCTTGGGGCCTAATTTTTATTGTCTTAAGGTTTTGGCTGAAGCAAGCCTAGGGGGGAACTTCCTTTGTCCATCTAGATAGGTTCTCTTCCACCCTAAGAAGACAAATTAGTGATGATTTGGTGTACTGAAGTCTTTCTTGGCTGGCATTATCTGCTTTGGGCCTTGATAAAACTTTGGTTAAACTGAAACACAGGATTTGAGATTTAGATATACAAAATGATAGAGCCAATATTTCCCACTCCTTTTATAGCACCACTGCCTCTCCTCTCTGGCTTGTCCCTAGATATTTCTTCAATATTCTATATGTCCCTCTAGGAGACTATTTACACCAGCCTGATTTGGGCATTACCTATTAGGGCAAAAACTGACAAATATATGTCTCCCGTATGAAAGCCATAATTGTTTTCAGATGTGGAGGTAGAATCTGTTTCACAACTGCTAGTAAAACGTCCACTGTACACCCAATGGTGATTGGACTTAATATTTCCTGGTCACACTGCCACTGTGACCAGGGGGCCATGGCCCTTCTTTGGGTGACCACTCTTCAGAAACTTCTAAGAAGGCTGCAAAATTTTTATCAATAGCTATAACTCTTAGAAACCATCTGGTTCCTCCTTCGTGCTATTAATTACTGGCTGTTAATTGTCTCAGGATTTTCTTGCAATCTTTTTTATTCTTTTATTATACAAATTGTATTGCTGTTCTTTTTTTCTTGTGTTTGGTCTTGGACCGTAAATAAATTCTGAATGCTTAAAGTTAAGTGATGCCCCAATGTGGGGACCTGTCCTTCAAGGCATGCCTAGGGCCCAATTCTGACCTGAACCCTGCCAACTTTGTTGCTTTTCCTCTTGTATTTTGGATGGTGCTTTGAAGGAAGGAAGGAAGGAAGGAAGGAAGGAAGGAAGGAAGGAAGGAAGGAAGGAAGGAAGGAAGGAAGGAAATATACAGAGTATATGTAAAACAAGCAAGCCTCTTAAACTGATGACATAGCTTAAAAGAATGAACAAATAGAACCTATAAAAAGAAGTGGAGTGGCAGCAAAGCAAAAACATCCCTCTGATTTTTTTAAAAAGGTCAGGAATACTACTGTAATGAATAGGCAGGCAAACTCCCCCGTACTTACTGAGAGTCAGCCAACAGCCAGACAGTACTGGGGTTGAAACACCTCTCATATAAGCAGGGAGATATCCCATTCCCTTCCTTTTCTAGGTAGAAGGAGTTTTGTTTATTTTGAGAGACCTCAAGGAGATCTCCAGAGAAGAGAAGCAAGAGTCAAGGTGAAGGAGAGAAACAGGGAGCTAACATTCTCTGCCAACCTCCGATTAGAGTTGGAATTTGCTGGAAAAACGATAAGCATTGGTAAGTCTACTAACAGCATGGTACCTGCTGGGGCAACAGTGACAACGTTTTCAAGCCTACAACATGTATCCAGCTGTTGAACAAGACTTGCATGCTGTAGCCTTCAGTTCAGGGAAAACAAAATAAACTATTTGCTAGATGAAAAGGGGCAAAAGGCTATTTGCTAGAACAGAGCTAGAAGAAAAGGTTTACTGCAGTCAGGGGAAGGGAAATCTGCATTAGCTATAAATATTAAAAGACAGCATCAATCTACCATCTGGGGAGAAAAAAAGACAAGCAAGCCATGGATCACTTACTTCAGTAAATGTTGTGCAACAGAACAGTGAGCTGAGAGGCGACCATCATACATCTCAGTGGAAGCCCACTGCATTATGGCTTGGTGCATTCGGTACTGCACAGTGAGCATCTTCACAACACGGTCCCCATATTGCTGAATCAGCCGTTCCATTAAGCTAAGAGAAAGGCCTTGGGTGGCAGCCCTGTGCCAAGAGAGTAATTAAAACAAAGTGAAAAGGAAAAAAAAAACATTCAAAGACTGCAACAAAGGCCACTGGTTGCTTTACCTCCATGTCTGCCTGTCAGTTTTAGAGGGGTTTTTTTTAAGGGATGCTTGCAATGTATCATAAGTATCTGATGCATAATATATAGGGATTTCTGATTGTTTTTTCCTAGCATTTTTCTTGCATGTGCAGGATCCTTTTTTCCCCCCCCAGATCAACCAAATGTTGATCTGTTTTGTGACAGGAATTGATTGACTAGCTTGTCACCCAAGCCTGATGTCATGGGCTGAGAGAGAGCGATTGGCCCAAAGTCACCCAGCTGGCTTTCATGCCTAAAGCAAGACTAGAACTCACCTTCTCCTAGTTTCTAGCCTGGAGCCTTAACCACTAGACCAAACTGGCTCAGCGATTTCTGAATATTGGCTTGTATTTCTCTCCTTCCATAATGTACAAGGGATCCAACTGCATAATTCACCAAATGCTATATCAATGGAACCTAAACACCCCAAATATTACGTAATACTACAGACTTCTAGGTAGAGACTATCACACAGCAATCACACTGTTGGTAATAAACAGAAAACACAATAAATGACTGGAAAATATCAAGTGAAGTTTCATCCCTAAAGCAGTTCCGGCCCTGACAGCATCTGGATGGGGAAAACATCAGCCAACTGTTAGTGGAAAAAGAACAACAGATGCAGTGCTCAGAGAAACCAAGATAGTTAACAATTGGGTAACTATGGCTTTATGATAGAACAGAAAATGGGGAATAAGAGAGACTGAATTAGCCCAGATGTAATAGAAAAACATAAACAAACAACAACAACAAAAACATGAAATTGAGCTTGACTCCTGGTGACTGCACCCATTTGTGTTATGGAAATAGTTTGCTGTCCTGCCATCACTTTCTTCTATGAGAACGGTTCAACATTTCATTCTAGCCTAGAGCCCTGGAATTCCTAGCTGGACTTCTGGTTAGGTAGAGATGTCAATTCCATCTCTGGAAATTCCATCTCTGTATAAAATGTATTTATTCATTTATTTTTCAAATTTCTAGGCTGCTCAACTCCAATTATTTTGGATGGCTTAACACAAGTAAAATAAAACAATAAAAATCAAAATAAAACCCCAAAGGTAGTGTCATCTGGAGGGAATGACAATCAACTCTTCTCTACCCATAAAGATAAAAACTGACAAAAAGGTCTCCCAGTCACCTAACCCAAAGCCTGGAGAAAAAGCCATGGTTTTTAATGCTCTTTTAAAGGCCAGTATTGTGGGGGGCATGCAAATCTCTGGGGGGATGCTATTCCAGAGGGCAAGTGCTGAGACAGTGAAGGACTGCCTCCTGGGTCCTACTGGATTACATTGCTGGATTGACTGGCAAAGGAAAGAACCAATTCTGCCAAATCTTACCAAACAAACAGAAATCATGGGAGACAGGCCATTCCCAAATAACTAGGCCCTATGCCATGTAGGGCTTTAAAGCTGACAATCGGCACCTTGAATTGCACCTGGAAGCCAAATGGTAACCAGTGCAGCTCACAGAGCCTGCATGTTACATGGACATGGCATAGTCCCTTATTGTTGGTCATGCTACTGCATTCTCTACAAGTAACTTCTGGATAGTTTTTAAGGGCAACTCCACATACCGTGCATTGAAACAGTCCATCTGCAAAGTGACCAGGGGGATGAGTGACCGTAAGAAGGGCCTCGAAGTCCAGGAAAGGGCACAACTGGTACACAAAATGAACTTGCTCAAAAGCCTGCCTGACCACAGCTGCCACTTGCTGTTTGAGCAGGAGCTGTAAGTCCAGGAGGACCCCCAGATTTCATACTAGACCCAAACAGGGTAGTGTAACCGTTCTCAGGGCCAAAGATGGAAGATCACCATCACTGAGAGGCTGAAGCATCCACAATCCCTCAGTTTTCCTAGGGTTGAGTCTGAGCTTATTCCTCCCTTCCAAACCTTCACAGCCTTTAGCTATTGGGACATGACTTCAGTGGCATCACTCGGCCAGCCTGGGGACAAGATACATAACTAAATACCACTAGCACACTGATGGATGACCTGACCCAACAGTCTCATGTATATATTAAATGGAAGGGGGGAGGTTAGAGCATTAAGTCTTAAGGTACCTCAAAGATCAGGGGCATTGTGCTCAACTATTCTCCCCCTACCAACCCTGACTGGAACCGGCCAGAGAAAAGAGAACTACCATAATACCATGCCTCCCACTGTCTGCAGTCAGACCAGAAGGATATCATGTTAAATGAGACTGCAATTTTCTGAGAGATCAAGAAGAACCAGAATGGTTGCACCTGCCCCACTTAGACTCTGCCTTTCCACAAGTGTGATCATTGCTGTCTCCAAAAAGGTCTAGATAATCTGTTTCTTCCAGGGCTCTCTGCAGCTATAACCCAAGTACCATGAAGTTAGCTGGTGATTTTTAAGCACAGGAAACCTTTTTAGTACTGTTAAGGTTTCAATCCCAAAAATGCTAAAGGAGAGTCTGTAATCGGGCCACAAAAATGATGCAGATGTGAAAGAGAAAGGAAAATTGCTGATGCCTGTGCCATTCTGGTATGTTCAGCATTGCTCACAAAACTGTTAAATGAAATAAGAAGCAAGTCCAGAGCTGTCTCACAGAGTTAAAAACCTTTTGCTTTAATGCCAGGTAACAAATGGTCTAAAGTATTCCTTTTAATGGAACTTCATAAAAGAGAAGAGAGAACCAATAAAGCGCACCATGGGTCTGAAATATAACTTTTGTATACAATAAGACTGTCCTACTGTGCCCAAGGCATTGCGCAATACACTGTGGGGACATACAGTATAACACCTGATAAGGTGAATTAATTAGGAAGAAATCTTTTACCTTTTAATTAAATTTGGTATTATTTTACCCTTGGTGTCAGGATCTATGCAAACCAGAATCTTCAATTATTTTAATGTGCTTTTATTACTAACCATACTTTTGCTTTTA